ATTTTCGAACTATAGGTTGTTTTCTTGTGGGACAAATAAGGAAGGAGAATCATACCTGGTTGAGTGGAATGAAAGTGAAGGAGCTGTAAAGCGTACATATCAAGGTATTGGCAAGAGATCAGTGGGTGTTGTCCAATTTGATACCACCAAAAATCGTTTCTTGGCTGCTGGTGATGATTTCTCTGTTAAAATCTGGGATATGGATAGTGTAAATCTTCTAACAAGTATTGATGCAGATGGTGGATTGCCGGTTAGTCAAGATATGAGCATCATTTTCATACTGATCCTGATAATATGCTTGCAATAAGCTTATTACTTTAATTTCCAAAATCTGCAGGCTTCCCCTTGCATAAGATTTAACAAAGATGGTGTACTATTGGCTGTTTCAACGAATGATAATGGCATCAAGATTCTAGCTAATGCAGAGGGAATCAGGATGCTCCGAACAGTTGAAAATCGTACATTTGATGCTTCTAGAGCTGCTGCTTCGGCTGCTGTTGTGAAGGTATAATATTTCAAATATTCTGTCTGATTTGTTTACTTTATATTTTCTCTAGCTGTGATTTTATTCAATTATTTTCCTGTAGGCTCCACCAATAGGTTCATTTGGCCCAACTGCTGTGACTGTTGGTATGAGCATTGGAGATCGGACTGCCCCAGTTGCTGCCATGGTTGGAATTGTAAGTGTCATTATCTTTATGGCAGATGATCCAGCTAAATAGATTCCATTTAGTTGGTATTACTCTTGTTCTTAAGTTTTGTCTATCAATGATGTTTCTTATGGTACTATATTTGGATATGGGACTAGATACATGTTTCACATTCATAAGCAGTGTGATATTCAGTGACTTACCCTTTCTTTTATTGACAATTTCAGAACAATGATAGTCGAGGTCTGGCTGATGTAAAACCCAGAATTGCTGATGAATCTGCAGATAAATCTAGGATCTGGAAACTTACAGAAATCAATGAACCAACTCAATGTCGTTCCTTGAGGCTTGCAGATAATCTAACAGCTTCAAGGGTATGGGTCTTGCTCAAAATTTTCTTTCTTTGGTCTAACAATTTAACTATCAAATATTTGTAGAATCATATCAAGGTTATGTTACCATTTTGGTTCTTGTTCTTTGGTCCTATATTTTCAAATATTCAAATTTAGTCTATTTACTTTCAGTGAATCTTAAAACTAGTCTTTAATGTTTGTTTGAAGTTAACTTTTAATTGAACTTGGTAGAACAATAATAATAATAATTTGGAAAAGACACCATACGAATGTATGTTTCCAAAATTTGTAATAGACTTTTTTCCTGAAAAATAACAACAAACCAATAGTAAGGACAAACTTTAGTATTTATCAGAAGTACATAGACTAAATTTAGATCACAAAGTATAGAGACCAAAATGGCATTTTAACCAAACATATTAGTTTCCAGTTTTTTTAGTTGATAGTAAATCTTCAGCTTATATCTAGTGAAAAAACTCCAAGGATTTCATATTTGTTGTAAATAGCTTGAAATGAGGTATGAGGGAAAAGAATGTAGAATTTACGTTATTCTAGCCTGATACTATATTTATTCCTTTTATATCCGTATAGAAGCTTTATTGGAAGGTTTCATATATCATATGACCCATATCCTTTGTTAGAATGCACATTGCATAAGATGTAATGAAAGGATAGTTTCTAGCGACCTCTCCCAGTTCTGTTATAATGGTATTTTACAAGATTGAGCTTTCTAATGCACAAGACATTTTGGTTTTATATGATCGCATTTTTTCCTTGAATATCATCACATTTTTTAATATGATTGGTCAGAAACGTTTTAGATTTCTCTTTGGAAGGCATCAGTTGCGCTGCATTAAATGAATATTATAATAGTAAAAATCTTTCAATGGATTAATTATATACCTTTTGTGACGCGCATGTATCTTAATTTACGATTCTGTTCTGATAAATTGATAGCTATTTCAGGTTTCTAGATTGATTTATACAAATTCGGGCCTTGCAATATTGGCATTAGCATCTAATGCTGTACATAAATTATGGAAATGGCAGAGAAATGATCGAACTGTGACCGGAAAGGTACACGTTCTTTGATCATGTGAGATACATGTAATATTAAGATTGATTCCTAAAAATCCTCTATTTACGAAGTAATGTCGTGTGCAGGCCACAGCTAGTGTCGCACCACAGTTATGGCAACCATCGAGTGGAATATTGATGACTAACGATATAAGTGATACAAATCCAGAAGATGCTGTCCCATGCTTTGCACTTTCAAAGAATGACTCTTATGTTATGTCTGCCTCAGGGGGGAAAATATCCCTATTCAATATGATGACGTTTAAGGTAGTTTGTTGTACTATATGCATAACCTGCCAATGTCTCTCTCTGGGGATGAAACTGCGATTAGTTTATATTGGAAGTTGCCCGTGTTTAACCATGATTAGTTTACATAATCACAAAACTAATATGTTTGAAAAGTAATAAAATGCACAAACTGGACGAGGTTGTTATTGTAGTTGTCAGATTGTTGGATATTCCAACAATTCTAACGAATCTCGTGTTATCTACTGGTTTTGCTTGGCTATTATTACTATGGTCGATGTTTTTAAAAAAATATTATTATTACCTGTGTCATGCCTTGGAGGAGCTGTGGCAAATATTGGATTGCGTAATGATTTTCCCGAATTGCATTTTACGTGCATTTCTGTTCTTAAATGTGTTTCTCAATGCAGACAATGACAACATTCATGCCCCCACCACCAGCGGCTACATTTTTGGCATTCCATCCCCAGGATAACAATATTATTGCTATAGGCATGGAGGATTCTTCTATTCAGATTTATAATGTTCGAGTTGATGAGGTCAAGTTTTGTTGGCTTGATTTTTTAGTCTCCTAGTATTGGTTAATTTAAATTGGAGTTCGGGTCTTTGATAATCGTTAGCTTGCGTAATGCAGGTGAAAACCAAGTTAAAAGGTCACCAGAAAAGAATTACTGGGCTTGCCTTCTCGAATCAACTAAATGTGCTTGTATCTTCGGGAGCTGACTCTCAGGTTTGAACTCTGTTATTAGCGATATTAGTTATTGTATGGCCTTATTATTGGGAACTTCTGACAAAGCATAGCTCAAGAATTGAGCATAGAAATCCACGAAATTTCATTTCAGGCTTGGATAAGACTTTGGAAGGGTTATCCTGCACTTGGAAGAAAAGTAGAAAAAGGAATAAATATAGTGATAATTTTATTCTTCATCGCCTTGTAATGTTTTCATGTTCCTCCCTTGTTTGTTTATCTTTTTGTTTGCTTATTCACACCCATGGGCTGTTCGGTCTCGTAGTCACATGCTGCATTTTTTCCTACGGCTTATGCTTGAGCTTAGTAGTCTTGGATCATAAGTTTGCTTCTTTATCCTTTAACATGTTTATATATCATAATCGTTATTATTTTTGTAGCTGTGCGTCTGGAGCACTGATGGATGGGAGAAACAGGTTAGCAAATTCTTACAGTTTCCAAGCGGTCGAACGGCTCCTCCTGTTGCAGATACGCGCGTTCAATTTCATGTCGACCAGACACACTTGTTAGTCATTCATGAAACTCAGATAGCTATATATGAAGCACCAAAATTGGAATGCCTTAAGCAGGTACGGTATCCAGAAAATTGACAAATTCAAGAATCAAGAGCATACACGTGCACGTGGTCTTTTCTTTTCCTTTTTTTGTAATTGGTAAAAGATGATAATTTTTGCAACTATTTTCCTTCAACAGTGGCTCCCACGAGAAGTCAGTGGCCCAATCACGCATGCTACCTTTTCTTGTGATAGTCAGTCAATCTATGTCAGCTTTGAAGATGGAAGCGTCGGTGTTCTTACTGCTTCGACTCTTCGATTAAGATGTCGAATAAATCCGAACGCATACTTGTCTTCGAATCCAAGGTGTGTTTATTCATTTTAAGATCAATTCACTCAGACGTGTACTTGCCAATGCCATGCACAACTTGGTAGTTATGCCTTTTCCATTTTTTCTGATATATTCCATTGTGTTAATTTATGAGCAGCTTGAGGGTACACCCTTTGGTTATTGCGGCACATCCATCTGAACCCAACCAGTTTGCATTGGGACTGTCAGATGGCGGTGTCATTGTACTAGAGCCATCAGAGTCAGAAGGTAAATGGGGAACCTCTCCTCCAGTTGAGAATGGGGCTGGACCAATCACTGCTTCGGGCACCACAGGGCCCGATCAACCTCAACGATGACGTCGAGCATAGGAGATGTTCGGGATTTTGAGCGAAAGGCGAATTGCCAATTAGGTTATGTAGATGTAGGAATACTTGAAGCAAGCATGGTAGAGCTTGTTGTACGTGGCATCATCGTAGCAAGCAAAGCCATGGCATTGTGCAGTTGGTTGGTTCTCGTCCACGAAGATTCGGAGATGGACAATCATCAAAGTACACTGGTGTTGATGTAGGGGCTGAGAAGATCGGGCACAAGATGGGAAGGTTGACGATGGCTGACAATCGAAGAAATCTATTCTTTCTTTCTTTTTGATCTCTAGTGTTCTGTGAGAAAGGGGTAGATAACAAACAATCTAATGTTAAATTCTTTTTTCTTTTTCAGGGTTTTAAGTTATTGATAGTTTCTATATTTCCACGGCCTAATTTGACCATCTGTTTTGTACATTAACATTATAACATCCCTTCATTTTCAAATTATTTTGTCTCTCTCCCTTGTTTGGCAAAAGCTCTCTGTTGCTTAGTTGCCCAAACTCTGGCTAAGGCTTCACCCACTTGCTATGGATAATAAACTGATCCCCAAGGCTTTTAAAGGAACTAAAGTAAAGTTTTTACACAGTCAACTATTCTCTTAGCCATCCTTTTCGTTTCTCAAACAAGCACTATTCTATTCAAATGTTTCATAATAGCTTCTTTCTCATTTTAGACTCTTATTATACTCATTAGAAATTGTACTAAGACTAAATTCCAACTAAAAAAAAAAACCTATAACCATGATGAGGACATCCAATAAAATTGGAATAATACAAAGTAGATTAGCATGGCCTCAACACAAGGATGATACACAAAATGGAGAAATGGTATTAGAACTACACCGAACGCTAAAGGGGAGTGGATTGTGAGATCTCACATCGGTTGGGGACCGAACGCTGAAGGGGAGTGGAATGTGAGATCCTACATCGATTGAGGAGAAGAACGAAACATTCTTTTACAAGAGTGTAGAAACCTAAAGAGAGCAATATCTCTTAGAAGTAAGCTTGTGTTGTTAGTATACAATACAAAAAAAAAAAAAAAAAAAAAAAAAAAAAAAAAAAAAAAAAAAAAAAAAAAAAAAAAAAAAAAAAAAATTTT